CTATAAAACCAAAAAACAGCGGAAAGAAGCATCAGCGATTTCGCGTTATTTGCGGCCTGCCACACATAATGCGAATGGAATCCATGGAAATCTTTCGTCTTCTTTGTCTCCTATGATGAGATCATTAGAGCCAATCATTTTAGAACATCTCCAAGAACTTTCCATAGGTATATCCTGAAATGGTCTTACTACTCTGAAACCTAGGATCAGGTGTTTCGAAGAATTCGAGTCTCATATTTGAGCAGTGCTCATAAAACCGACTTCGGAGTCTCATATTTGGGTTGTACATGCCTACAAAATATCTAGCGATTGTATCAGTGAATTGGCCGTCGTTTAGTCGTAAGTATCGAAAACGAGGTATTTTTTCCATGAGTGGCGCAGTAGCTTGTTGGTGCACATGTTTTCGCAATGGATCCATCAGAAACTTGTATGTGGCGCACCGTTCATGACTACTTTACAAGCAGTTGAATGACTAGTTTGTCTAATGTCGTATACTATATCCAATGCAAGAACTAGTAGTCGTGAGAACCAGTCATTTTTAGGCTAATCAAGCATATCTGTCTAGCGCGCACTATAAATGCTTCTTACATGCCAGATGTCTGCTAGCTTTGTTGTTTGGCATAAGAAAAAACAACATAACTGTTTAGTCAATTTTTTTTCTTTTACATTTTTCAAGCTATTTCTTATAATAATAATGTGAAACTGAATGGAGGATATGGGTCAGTTGTCACTCTCCATGGCTCTACATTTTTGCTTTTGCGCAGATTGAACTCTTCACACACTTCTTGATTTCTAGTGCCTTTATTATAGCAATGGATACAGCAAGGTCGTCCAGTTACGCCGCTATTGGTTTATCTAGTGTTGTCATTATTACGTCTCTGGCCTATATACCTTACATGCTTTCACAAATCGACTCTGTTCTCGACTCCATTAAGGTGGGTACAGTAAGTGTTTTGAATTGGTGTCTTAACAACCTTGTTTCTAGGTACATAACGATCAGTTCCAAGCCATAGAAATTGCAGTCAACCTAGAGTTCAAAGAGCTGAAAGTGGATCGCCCTCGCAAACGGCGTCAGACAGTGGGAGTTTGCAGTGAGTTCCTGTTTGCATATTCTAGTAACTGCTCGTATTTTCGTAAATTTAAGCTTGCGATGCTGGAAATGACTGTCCATCTGGAGCAAAGGGTATGCCTGGAGCCAGCGGTTTCGATGGGGATCCAGGTAACATGAGTGTACCTATCGCGCCTTATTCAAATTTCAATGCTCTAGGAACTCCGGGAACACCAGGAGAGCCAGGTCCACCCTCTTCCGTCATGATTCCCGCAAGGCCACAAACACAAGAGTGTAGAAAGTGCGCTCCTGGACCAGCAGGACAGCCGGGATATATGGGACCCCCTGGAGCATCAGGAAATCCTGTTAGTCGCATTCATGTTACTTCTTTCGATGCCTGTTTTGTGTATAACATCCACGCTTATAGGGTGAAGCAGGGCCACAAGGTATGTCGGGCCGCCCTGGCATGCCGGGAATGGTGGGAATGCCTGGAGAGAACGGACGAGAAGGATCTGCTGGAAACTTGGGTGAACCAGGTCCACCAGGAATGGATGGCATAAGAGGAGAAAAGGGACCGTCTGGAGAGAAGGGTCCAGCAGGTCCGCCTGGAATGCCGGGTCCCCCTGGCTACTCAGGCCGCGATGGAAGCGGTGGTTCGATGGGACCACCAGGACCACTTGGGCCAGAGGGAAAACCAGGAAATCCAGGATTTCGTGGTCCAATGGGTCCGCCATCTAATGAGGTGAATTTACTCTATTCATTAATAAAAGTAACAGAAAATCTTTCTTACCTTTTTTCGATATAGAGCTGTTAAGAATTGTCATATCTTCAGGGAGGTCCAGGAGAAGATGCTTCTTACTGCAAGTGTCCAACCAGAGCTCAGGTCAAGGCAGCCAGGGCACGTAGCCGCAAAGTTGCAGCATAGAAGCTTTCCTCTGATGTTATGTGAAATAAATGACTGTTCTATATCGTCGGCACACTGTCTATGACCTTTAATTGGGTATTGGCTATTTCATGCAAGCACACCAAAATTTGTACTAAACGTAGATCAAAGGATATCGTTTTACGGGAAGTGAAAGTGGTGCATCAAGCAAAGCTCAAGTGTTGGTAATAATTTATTCGAGTTTTTCTCACAATGTGATTAGATTTAGATCTACTTATCTCCCTCGCGATTACGTACGCGACAAATCTTTCTTCGTTTTTGCGATCAGCCAGCCCTCGCAAAAATGTTTGGATTCTTTATAAAATTCTCGCGGACCTTAATCGAGACTACCTCAAAAGCAACTGGTGTTTAACCCACCATATTAGGTTGTTAACAAAGTTTTGCAACTATTTTTATAATCTCCCCCTTCTTATATGACGCACTCATATTGTGCCGTGTGAAAAATGAGGTAGGCTACTTTTCAAATTCTGACGTCGCGGTGAGGGTTACGGTAGGTATACGGTAGAAGAGAGATTTTCCATAGGGGTTATCGGACATGCTGATCACGAAAGCAATGTTGGATTCACATGATAGGGGATTTCTGTAAGATTACAGCTGATTTGCGGTGTGAGGTCTTACCCTAAACAAGAAAAGATGGGTACTTTTCCGTTATCCGGACCCATTTCGAAGATCTCTCATAAACGCGTGATTTAGTTCAAAACAATTTTTTATTAGATTGTACGAGGAATGCCTCCTGCCACGTGTCAGGAAAAAATGGACACGTTTTGGTCCGTTTTGACAAGTTTTCTTCTAATTCATTTCCGGTGAAATAAAGGAGCATTTGTGGTCCCTAAAGGCTGCTTAACTGTTTTCTAAAGTGCAAAATAATTTAGAATTTCTAATACAACTTATATTAAAACTTCTTATGGCTTTCAGCAACAATCCGAAATTTCTTTCTCTATGAATTCTGTTCGCTAAGCGATTTTAGGCAGAAAAGACTAATAAATGATGGGTTGAAGTATCTCGCTACTGCTTGTTTCACCGCTTAGATGATGGAAATATAGCACTCTGTATTCTGGGCAAGTCCAATCTGTACATTGATACTACGCAACGTCATTATTTAATAATTTTCATTTCTAGAATGGTTTGATTGAAAAAGGAGTCATTATTGATTGAAAAACGATAAAAATTACTCATTAAGTAGGGCAATACAAACTTTTAGTAAAACCTGATAAACACT